TCCACGGCTGTCATAAATTATCAACGGCCAAGCAACCACAAACGATGATGACAAGGCTCCATACCCCCATACCCCCACACTCCCCCTTGCCCCACCCACACACAGAAAAAAAATGTATGCCTTTTAAAATCTACTTTAATATAATTAAAATATAAAGGGATCCACTGTCCTCACAACCGCACAAAACACCCAATTTAATTAAAATGGATAATATCAAATATTGATATTTATTTACTCCTCCTTTCTCTCTGTGCACTTTTACTCGCCTTTGAACGCAACGCACTTAATCAACCATTAGAAATCTTCATTAGAGCTGGCGTGTCCCCAAAAAAAAAGTAAAGTAAAGGCATTTCGACTTTGTTTGCTTTGCACTTAAATAATTTAATTGCTTATAAAACAAACAAGTCGCTGGTGGAACCATTTGAACAAATATTTCATTTAGTTTTATCACGGTTTTTTGTTGTTTGCCGCCTTCAACTTATTCCATCTCGATTGATTGATTGACCGATGGTCTGATTGACAGTTCAACACTCGTAGCTGTCAAATTTGAACAACTCGAAAAGTGCAATCATCAATTTTCGAACTCAAGCAACCACAAAAACGCTGCGCACCCCTTGCTATCAATTCTTTTGAATTTGTTTTAAATTAAATTTTTCTTTGGAATTCTCGAATCCATCCTTAAAAAAGAATATCATCATTTATTTTATGTGTCGTTGGCTTTTCATTGAATTTTATGATATCCAACGGTGAGCTTTAACATTTGCGCTAATTATTTTGCCACAATTAATTAACGCGCAAAATAAAAATAACACATTAAACAAGAGCAGCAAAAAACGAAGGAAAATAAATAAATATATAAAAACAAATATATATATTTATATTTATATGTATGTGGATGTGGCTGTGGCTGTGGCTGGTGTTTGCCCGATGTATAGATAAATGAAAACAGCTTCGGCCTGGTCTATATATTTCGCACAGCTATATGCACCGATCTGTGCTGATCTTTTAACTCAATTAAAAGCGCGTACGAGCGCCAAAATTTTCAAAGGCACTTCGCTCTGTCCCTGTATATATGTTGATATATATATTATATATCTATGTGTATTTAAGTATATATCTATATGGGATATAGGTGTGTGTGTGTGTGTGGGTCTACAAAAAATAGCCGACAATTCGACGCCGCTGGTTCTGCGTCATGTGAGTCAGCGACAGCAACGTCGACCGAGACTGAGGCTGCAACGCATTTGGCAACAGGCGAAAATCTCTGGTCCATTTTCCTTTTGGCCACCAAAGCGGCCAAAGCACGATGACACATGTGCTACCCGCCACGCCCCCTTTGGCCGCCCCCTTTTAGGCTTTTTGGTCCTGTTTCTGTTGACTGTAATTAGCACATTGCATAGCCACAAAAAAATAGAGACCATTAGTTTGTTGTCTTTATGCTGGGCAGCGGCACACCCCACGAAATTGTCAATATATTTTTTATCAAGGCATTCTAAAGCTATTGGTTAATGTTAATAATATAATGTATAATATTACATTAGGTTTTCAAGCGCTTAAAATAATTCAGCTTTAAGCTTTAAGCTAAGCAAAATTCGGAATTTAAAATACATTTTTTTTTTCTGTTGTCATCCCTACTTTTGTGCCTTTTCTAAACCTAATTTTATGTTAGTCATGATTTGATTTATTGATTTAAATATTCTTCATTTAAGCTTGTCTTGAAATTTAAATCATTTTCTTCAATTAGTGAAAACCTAGATCCACAGGTTTCTGGCTAACTTTTGTCGCCTGGCAACAGAAAGTGCTGCCAGAGAGAATGTCTTTAGTATTTTTAACATTTGTCTGCTAATGATTCGTATGCTGCAAATGTTTGCCCAGACACTTTCGAGTTTTGACTTTTTCCGTTGATGCACCATAATTTGTTGCACACACGCATATGTGTGTGTGAGTCAATGCACCGCGAAAAAAATAAGACAAAAAATAGGGGGGAAACGGCGGCGGCACCAGACGAAGATGAGCCAACAAGAACCATTTATTTCTAGACATTTTGTCTTAAATTTAACTTAAAAATAAAGCGTGTGGAATGCTCTTGTGTTGTTGTTGTTATTATTGTTGTTGTTCACCCACGCTGCAATTTTCCCCTCCTTCTGCTTCCTGCATCATTATTATTTCGAACATTTTTGCACAAAATATTTACATGGATATTGTTTGAAATTCGCTGTTGGGCTTGTCAATCAATTGGAAATGATCAGAAATTAATTCGCCCATAACCGAAATCGAAAATCAGCTCTGTTAAGTGCATAGGCAAACAAACAAATAGCAATTTTTGCACAAGTCGAAAAAAAGAGGAAAACAAACCGAAATTGGCCGCGTTTTTTTCGCGGTCATACATCAAATGTCTAGACAAATTGTGGCAACACAATAATAATGGCAAAACAACAGCTGAGGTTAAAGACAGGAAGTGGAGTGTCAGGAGAGCGAGATAGCGCCAAAGATGGGCCCGAAAAGACCCGGGGATTTTTTGCCACAAATTGCTATCATTTATAATAATGGTTTCATAATTTACCCCAATTATGGTATATCGCTTGTGTGCTGCTTTTCTATTTATTTTGTACACTTCTACGTAAACATATTGACCCATTAACATGAAAGCCTTTAAGTCGCTGCTAAATTATAGACAAATAATTTGTGATTAAATTAAATTTCTGTTTAATTCATTTGATTGCTAAGCGAGACACTTTTTTTGTGAAATGTGTGACATGGGCGAGATCAAGACTTGCAATATGATTAATGGACCTGCCTGGGGATTATCGCTATATCCCCGATCTCTTCTTGGTTTGCCTGCCTGCCTGCCCTGCACAAATCCACACACATACATAGGTATATAGTATAGTAAATCTATTGCGCTGGGGCTTATTTTCATTGTTTCGCCTGGGCTGTGTTGTACTATAATATATTGTTGTTGTATTTAAATTGTTTCGCACGCAAATAAAACTGGCGCCAATGACAAGCGGCAGCAGCGGCAACAACAAAATTGATAAACGTCGCGCGTCGTTAGCGCCACTTATCACGTATACGCCATGGCGCCGTTGTTGGATTCGGTGGTTCTGTGGCTCTCTAAATGTGGATCTCTGTAGCTCAGTGGTTCAGTGGTTCAGTGGGTGGTTCGATTGCTACCGCTATCACGTGTATTTAGCTAATTAATTTATTGTCGCAACTAGAGTGCAGGGGGGTCTACTTTTCTGTCTATTAGTTTATACTGCCATTCTGGCATTTGGCAAGCAAATGCGAAAAGCGCCCAAGGAGCGATTATCAGGGCAGCATGGCCCGAGATATGGAATCGTGAATGATGTGTGCGATAACCGCGGGGGAGCCGAAGAACGCAGAACACAAACAACTCACAACTCACCGACAACAGGTGTCAACTGCCGGCGATTTAATACAGACAGAGAAATATCTATAGCACATTATATCCACTGAATAGATATTAAAATACAAATTCATTTTATAGTTTAGACTATATTAATATCTATAATTTCAAAATCCAATCAATTTAATGACTTACTTATAATCTTTTTCGTTACTTTATAATACATTTCATTTCAAATTTTTTGCTGGCGTTTCCAATGCGTTTTGCGTGCGTTTTCTCCGCGACATTGGCGCGTTTTGGCTGCGGCCTTTAGTTTTAATTTAATTAATTTTCCACACCGCCACCCCGCCTCCTCACAAACACATTGATTTTGGACCTTTGCCTTCTTTTTATTGTTTTCTCCCTACTTGACTGCGGCATTTTGTTTTTTTGTTGTTTCGTTTACATTTTTTATTAGTGGCGCCAAAAGTTTTAGCATAATTTTGCCGAGACACCACTGGCCGGTGTGTGTGCTGTTGGTATTAAAAGTATATTAATAACATAAGGCGTCGCGTTTTCGATTTGCATACGATTTGTGGCATTTTGTGCAAAGTTTTGCCGCTCGCGCGCAGCCAATTAACGAAAAGACGAAATCAAAAACGTAATCCCAAAAATGCTGCTAATGAAATTGAGACTATCAAAGTGGATGCTGATGCCCCTCGTACCGCTTTTCCCTCTTTTCGATTTAAAACCCACAAATTGACACTTGTTGGCGCCGCAGAGTGACGTGGCCTCTTCTTCATTCCATTTACCTACACGGAAATAAAATGGTAGTGCATTCAAATTGTATTTAAATTTTATAAAAGATAGTTATCTGTTATGAAATAGAGGTGCAATACTGTTTTGAACTAAATAAGTAAAATAATGTTTATAACCCTTAAAACATTTATAAAATATTTTCAAACTTTGGTTTGTATTTTGTAGCATTTTCTCAATAGCTAAATTCATTGAATACTGAATAGTGAGAAAACTTTTCACTGTGTGGTGGTGGCTTGCATTTGTAATTGAAAACGCTGCCGGAAGCGACTCAACGCCTCTCAGCGAATGTGGCGCCAGTTTTTTGTTCGTTTCGCCGCTTTTGGCTGAAAACGTTCTGCAATTCTGATTGCATCGGTTTTGGTATCGCTATAAGTCGGCTCTGCCCACCCGAATCGGAGTGGAAAACCTGAAGATGGGCCTCCAGCCGAGCTCCTTCGATTGAAGTTAATTAGTTGCTGATCGATTGGCAATCCCCCATCCCCCATCCCCCATTCCCCTTCGGATTTCAGCTTCCTCTTCGGCTGTGGGCGTCTGTCATTTGAATTTTATGAATTTTCATTATTATTAACCTCGCTTTGCATCATCGGTTCGGCCTTTGCTGATATTGTATAGGCATCGGCTGTTCGCTCTACACACATATACCATATATATGTGTATATTTATATAGGCAATTGCACTGGCGACTGGCGCCAGCAACCTGAAAAAAAATACAAAATACAGAATACAACAACAACAGAAAAACCCCCAATCCCATAGATCTTAAATGGCAATTGAGGAAACACAACGCAACAGAACGAGAGATTTATTTTTGCCTTTTTATTTCCTTTACTTTCAGTCACCGAATGTCAGTTTGGCAAAGTTCTGCGCGAATTAGGCTCGACCTGGTATGCGGATTTGGGTCCACCCTTCGGCGTTATGTACTGCATCAAGTGTGAATGCGTGGCGGTAAGTACTCACTTAACAAACTAACCTAAAATGTTAATAAGCCAAGCAAACTTACAGAGATTTTAGTTAGTATTTAAAAGATTTGTATCAATAAACTTGTACATTACAATAACTTACAAACTACTTTTGGTGTTAGAAAAACCCTAACTACAATCTCTTGTAAATCGTATAAACATGCAGAACTTCCCAGACATGTTACCCAGTGTAGTATGGAAAACTCACCTCAAATGCAAATAGCAAACAAATACCGCCTGATGGGCGACGGGCGGACCCCCGAGCGAATTGACTAATGACCGTCGACATTCGCTACAAGCTGAGGATGAAAATCGCTTGGGGAAAACTGCCACTGAAAGGCGAATGAAAATGATTGTGTTTTCGGTTTGGACGCGCCTAATTTATGGCATTTCCACGCATGATTAATATCGATTTTAAAGCTCTTTATGCGATATGTTACGAATCAGAATCGGAGCCAAATATTCTATAGACAGCCGGGGTTCTCAGCCTTGCCAAATTGAAAAACAAATTCAGCATTTTCGTGGTTGCTCGATCGAATTACGCAAAACTGCCCAAGAAATGTTGCAGTGCGAAACAAAAAAGTTTAAAAAAAAGGGAGGAGGGGAGGGGTGGGTGAGGAAACGAGGGCAAGCCTGAGCAATTTTCCCAAGCGAAACATAAAAATGTCACACTCGTGTCCTCGCCGGGTAAAAAACACTAGATCCATATAGATATAGATGCGTATTCGTGGTCGGGAGACAAAAATTAACTGACGCCATCGGGCATGAGTTGTTGTTGCTAGTCTGCGATGGACCAGACGGGCCAGATATATACAGATATATACATATATCATATATATATATATATATATATATATATATATATATATATATATATATTTATCATATATATATTTATCATATGTATATTATATAGGTATATGGATATATGACCATGTCCCGGTCACAAGCTGCGATTTCTCCAGTCTACACTCGCAGATATGTATATATATTTTTTTCGTTAATTTTTAATGTACACTGCATAAAAGTCAGCTTTGAAATTAATTAATTATAATTTATGTTGGCTGCAAGCGTCGCAAATGAGCACATCATAAAATTATTTAAAACATGTTGCTGCTGTTGAACTTTAAGCACAGCGGCAACATCATCATCAGCGGCGCGCTGGCGACCAATAAAAATTAATAATAAAAAACAGAGAAACATCAAAAAGACAAACAGCACAGCCAGGACAGCAAGAACAGCAAGAACAGCAGCCAAAGAGCTTTGGCGAATTCATAAAAATATAATTATAAAAAAGGCACAGCCAAAGCACGAACGAACACGCGGATTTCTATATTTATATAGACGCGATATTGGGAGGAGATCGCAGCTTGATTTAGACCAGATTCGGTGGCTAAAAAGGCATAAATCAAAGCGACTGCGACAGGTGACAGGCCTGGGAATCTGCATTACTAATTCCAATTAATTTTTTATTTCACCGCTCTCTATTCGCATCTTAATGTTCCCCTTTTTTCTCATAAAATTTTGTTTTTATTTGTATTTATTTTTTTTGTTTTAGATACCCAAGAAGCGACGCATCGTTGCACGCGTCCAGTGTCGCAATATTAAGAACGAGTGTCCGCCGGCCAAATGCGATGATCCCATCTCGCTGCCCGGAAAATGCTGCAAGACCTGTCCCGGCGATCGGAACGGTAAGTCCAAAAGATCTATATTCCTATATCGATACCATATGCAACAAATGCTTCAGGCAAAAAACTAATCACATATATTTGTGTGTGGGGGCAAACTTAAACAATACACACAGCTATAATTTCCAAATAATGTTTCAATATTTTGACACTGTAAATTCCCTGTTTGATGGCATAAATCGGGATTAGGCAGGCATTAGGCATTAAGCATTAGGCATTTGACTGTATGAATCGGCCCAATATCGTAGCTATATGTCTGTCGGCCATTCTAGCCATGAATAATTAAGCGTAGCATCCACGGCAGCTGCCAGGGGGACATACACTCACAGAAACAAGATGTTATGATGCCCAGCAGGCCCCCACCGGCCCCCTCCGCCCACTCCTTAAAAAATATACATATATATATGAACGAAACGCGTAAATTGTTTATGAAAAATTACTTGGCCCGAAATGAAGGTCAGCGCTACGCAATTTATATTTCGTTTTTATGTCTCAGTCAGCTTCTGCTCTATTCTATTCTGTTCTGTTCTGTCGCCGGCGATAATTCCTATTCCTATTCGCATTGGCTTTCCCATTACCATTCCCATTCCTTGGTCCACTACTTCGGATAATGGCCATAGACTTGGACATAGAGCAATATAGCATGTGCGGTGTCGCTAGCTCTTTTTATTTCGGTGACTTTTGCATTTATTTATTTTTTTTTTGGTGTGTGCGCCGCTCTGCTTTACTTTGTTTTATTTTCAATCTATTTTATATCGCCCGAACGCACGAACTAACGGCGCCTGAAGTTGTTTTCGGGGGGTAATATTATTATCGGATCGTGTCGGATCGGATCGGATCGGATCGGATAGGAACAACAGGCCAGAGATAGAGCCAGAGTATTTCAAGTATTTGTTTGAGCACTTTGGGGGGCACACGTGCCGCCTTCGAAGCGCCTTAATAGACCAATTAAACGGGGAGTTCAAGCTAAAGTCTGAACAACTGAACAAAATCGCCCGATTTCTTTCACTTTTTCACTCATGGCAGACAGCTGCTGGCCAAAACATACATACATATGTGTGTGCTTTGCATAATTTATGATTTGACTGAATCACCGTTTTGGCTTTGCCTAATTTTCCGCCCGAATTCAGTTCACAATTGGCAATGGTTTTGTGTGCGATTTTTTTTAGTGGTTAACTAGAGAAAATGTGCCTCTTTCTCTGTGACATTTTTCACATAATCAGGCGAGTGCTGCCTGAATTCCAGTCGCCAAGTTGCATGTTGCTAGTTGCTGGTTGGTAGTTGCTGGTTGCCAGTTGCTGGTTGCTAGTTGCTTGTTGCTTGCTGCCAGTTGCCAGTTGCTGTGTGGCATGGGGCAAAACGCAAACTCAAACGCAAACTGGTTGCCACCGAACGGGAATGGGGTTAAGGGGGCTGCAAGGGGTTAAGGCGGTCGCTGCATCACATCATTAGTTTCCGTTTTGCGGCAATTTTTCATTTGCTTATGCAAAGAGCCGTTGACCCGCGGACCTTCCACCCAAAAAACAATTTCACTTTTCGCTGTATTTCACCCATTGGTTATGGTTTTTTTTTTTTTTCTTTTAGTTAGTTTTTCTTCTTAGTTTTTATTATATTTTTTTTATTTTGATTTTTGCACTATGTCTAAAAGAAACTCCCAACGCAACTCGTTTGCCATAAATAGTTAGAAGGCACGGGCGCGGCTTTTCCAGCGAGACTCTTTGGCTCTCACGCAGTCACCGGCTGACTAGTCAGCCATCTAGCCATCTAGCCACCAGCTAGCCATCTAGCCATCTAGCTAGCCATCTAGCCTAGGCTATTGTACAAATATTTCGCAGCAACAACAGCAACAAAGCACAACGGCAGCAGTTTCATCTACAGCAGCCCAGGCTCGCAACGATCGTTTCCAAAGTTATTTTTTGCCTAACTTGGTTTTTTGCCCCATACTCCGCATACTATGACTGCACGTAGAAAAAAATAATTGCAAATGATCAGCAGAAAGTATTAGAAAATATTTGGTATTAAATCAAAAATTCTTTGAGTTAAACAAAACTTAATTAAGAACTTATTGGATAGACACCTTAAAATCAATCACCTCAAAACCCAAAAGAAATCTGGAAATCCGGTAGCAAAGAACTCAGTCTGTTAATCACAATTTATTTAATTTTTTCGGTGGATTGTGATGGAGTGGAACTTCGGCTTGACTTAGCCAGGTTCCACTGTACGCGTGCTCGTCCTGGGCAAGTTGTCAGGCCCGAAGAGCCGATGCCTGGAGCCTGAAGCTCATGACATGGCCATATAATCAACATCAACAATTGCCTACCTTCGTTAAATGTCCATTTTGGGATCGAATCTTTTGGCTCTTCCCCGTCAATTCCGCCCAACTTCGAAAGCCCCCCCCTTTTGAGGCCACAAACTGAGAGACCGAACAAACCAACAAACCAACGAACGAATGAACGTACGAGCGTACGAGCGTACGGCATTAATTTATGCCTGGTATTTTTTGTTCGTTCATTTTTATAATGACATAACTCGGGCATTTTAACGCTTATTAAATTATCTCATTTGCCGCCACAAACGGCGGGCGGTCCCCGATTGAGAGAAAGGGGAGAAAGGGGCAGGGGTAGGGGCAGGGGTAGAGGCATATCCCCAGGTAGACAATAAAAGTTAATGTTTTTCGATTCCATCGACTCGAATCGCATCGCATCGCATCGCATCGTATCGCATCGATCCCATTAGGCAAGTCGCCAGAGTTGACAATTCAACTTGATGACATCTTTTGTGGTCGTGGTCAGTCGATCCCATCCCATCCCATCCCATCCCGTCCCTTTTTTCCCCCTTAAAAGAGCCCAAGATTGGAATCCAGATCGAAGAACGAAGATCGAAGATCGCTCCCAGCAACAGCAGCAGCAACTTTGTTGTGCCACAAAAGGATCGCCGGGCCAAATTCATTTTTATGGCCGGGCGTGAGGTGAGGTGCGCCATCCAACAATAAAATCCTCAACTTTATCTTTATCTTTATCTCTATCTGTATCTGTATCTGTATGTTTATCGGTTCTGCATCGGCAGCAACAGCGGCGAACGGAACTGTCTATTATATTCCCACTCTTCAGCCTTTTTTTTTCCTAAGTGAAGAGATTGTGGATCGCGATAAGGCTGAGAAATAGAGCTAACAAGGCGTCGGGTTGGGTTCGAAAACAATCTGAATCGAATGATCTAAGCCGGAGATTATAATGGGTTCGGATGGGTAGGGGCAACAAGAAAAAGAGTTGATTCGGGATTTACTGGGCGATCTTTAATGGACTCAATGAATTTCATAGATCTAAAACTCTTCTTTATAAGCTTAAAGTTATGTTCCTAGATATTCAATGTAAAACATCCAACTTCTCCTCTAACTGTGTAACTTTTTGTGTCGTAAAATACCAACTTCTCCAGATCCCACACTCCACTTGCCTCAGTTTATGATCGTTCATGGTGTTGATCCCACACACCTGGTAATATGACATGAAATTCGAGACAGATTTATCAAATCATTCTCACGTGCTCGGCATTTCTTCGGAAACCGTATAGCTCTGATGGCCGCACATTTAGCCACCATTTGAGGCAAACACTTTCAAACGATTCTATTTTTTTTTTCTTTTGTCCCCTCTTTCCCCCCCCCCCCCGTTTGGGTCTCTTTAGTTTTGTTAATGAGCTGCCGCCGAGATTCTTTTGGGGCCGGCCCCACATACCAAAGCGTTGAGTCAATGCCGAGGTGTCGTTTGTCTTTCGGTCGCGGCTTTGTCGGCTTCACTCCCCTGCGTCTCATTCCCCTGTCCGTTTGTCCGCTGTCCGTTTGTCCGCTGTCCACTGTCCACTGTCCGTTTGTCCATCTGTCCGTTTGTCCGCTGAAGGGGTTACCCCAACCACACTTCCACTTCCACTAGGCAACGTGTCGTCGTCTTTGTGCGCACCAAAACTCATTTATCTTGGCTTACAGCGAGCAGGAGAAAAAAAAGACCCACAAAAAAAGAACGAAAATTTCATTCATCTGCAAGCGCGATTCAAGGGCAGAGATGCCTGCGACTTCGGTCTCCGTTCGGAAGACACCAATAAGCCCCAAGAATGTAGAGCCACAAATTGAAAAAAGCAAAAAGCAGAAGGAGAGTTGGAGTTGAAGTTGAGGCTAAAGCCAAAACTGGCTGGCTATATGGCTGGCTGGCTGGATGGCTGGCTGGCTGGATGGTTGGCTGGTTGGCTGGCTGGTTGGCTGGCGAAGTGGCTCGTATTAAGATCAGGCGATAAGATCGGACAGCAGAAGCCGCAGAACGCAGAACGCAGTACGCTGAACGCTGAGGAGACCCAGGCGAACCCTGGTGCGGGGCTCTCAATAAAATGCTATACAAGGTGTCAGATTTGTCGCCCTTCATTATGCGATTCTGGCCCCAAGTTCTTCTCTTTTTTTCCCTTTATTTTATTTTATTTCAATTTTTTTTTTTATTTTTTTGCGGCTTAAAGGTTGGGTATTTGGAGAAGGAGAAAAGGAGCAGCGTAAAATAATCGAAATGCCAATGCGGCATCATCGACAGCAGCAGTCCTCCGTCTGGCTTTAATCAGCTTTTGTCGGGGCTGCCACTTCTAACGAACTGAGAGGACTGGGAATGGGGATTGAGATCCCCCGGCTCCAGTTCTTCGATTCTGATTCGCTGATGGTGATTTATGCGCAGGTTACCGGGTGTCAATCAGCGGGACAACAGCGGAAATGTGTCCACCCACTTTCACGCCAAGGGTTCGGGTCCAAAAAAAAAAAAAAAAAAAAAAGAGCGTGTCATGTGGATTCCGGGAATTTGGGAACTCCGGTAACTCCGGGAACTCCGGGGAACACGGCGACACAAAGCACATCCCTAGTTAGATGTAGGTTAGAAGACTTCCCGTTGCAGCGGTCTACCTGCCCTCAATTTATGCACGATTAATGAATGCCACCTGGGTGGAAAAGGAGGCGAGGGTCAGGTCTACCTGGCTGCCATTCATGATGATCCCCTGCCATTCATTCCCATTCACATTCACATTCACATTCACTCACCGGATTCGGCCATTCAACTGAAACTGAAACTATAACTAGACAATTCTGGATGGTGAACAGTGTCGAATAGTGAATGGCGGTGCGGCTGCTTTGAAGCGTTTTGTTGCTATCTAAATTCCATTTAAGGCCCTTAATACCTTATCGCACAGCATCTCATTCTCTGTTTTATTCCTGTCTATCTTGCAGATACGGATGTGGCCTTGGATGTGCCAGTGCCCAGCGAAGAGGAAGAGCGCAACATGAAACGTAAGTACAAAGATGTCCTGTGAGGACTAATTGTAAGCCCATTTCCCATTTCCCATTTGCCATTTGCCATTTGGAAATCTCCTCTAACACCTGGTTTATCTCCATCTTAACTTTTGTTTCCGCTTCCTCCCCATTTTCAATTTACACAGATTACGCTGCGCTGCTGACGGGCCGCACTTCCTATTTCCTCAAGGGCGAGGAGATGAAGTCCATGTACACCACCTACAATCCACAGAACGTGGTGGCCACCGCCCGCTTTCTGTTCCACAAGAAGAACCTCTACTACTCGTTCTACACGTCGGCGCGCATTGGTCGTCCGCGGGCCATTCAGTTTGTGGACGATGCCGGTGTCATACTGGAGGAGCACCAGCTGGAGACCACCTTGACGGGCACGCTGAGTGTCTACCAGAATGCCACCGGCAAGATCTGCGGCGTGTGGCGTCGTGTGCCGCGTGACTACAAGCGCATCCTGCGCGACGACCGTCTGCATGTGGTCCTGCTGTGGGGCAACAAACAGCAGGCCGAACTGGCCCTGGCCGGCAAGGTGGCCAAGTACACGGCCCTGCAGACGGAGCTCTTCAGTTCGCTGCTGGAGGCGCCTCAGACGCAGTCGCCGGCAGATGGCAAGACGGACAACCAGTTGGCCGGAGCCGGCGGCACGGCCATTGTGTCCACCAGCAGTGGAGCGGCCTCGTCCATGCACCTAACCCTGGTCTTCAATGGCGTCTTCGGGGCCGAGGAGTATGCCGATGCCGCCCTGAGTGTGAGGATCGAGCTGCCCGAACGCAAGGAGGTGATCTTCGATGAGATACCGCGTGTGCGCAAGCCCTCCGCCGAGATCAATGTGCTGGAGCTGTCGTCGCCCATCTCCATACAGAACCTGCGACTGATGTCGCGCGGCAAACTGCTGCTGACGGTGGAGTCCAAGAAGTATCCGCATCTGCGCATCCAGGGACACATTGTGACGCGGGCCAGCTGCGAGATCTTCCAGACCCTGCTGGCGCCGCACAGTTCGGAGTCGGCCACCAAGAGCAGCGGCCTGGCCTGGGTGTACCTCAACACCGATGGCTCGCTGGCCTACAACATCGAGACGGAGCACGTGAACACCCGCGACCGACCGAACATCAGCCTGATCGAGGAGCAGGGCAAGCGCAAGGCCAAGCTGGAGGACCTCACGCCCAGCTTCAACTTCAACCAGGCCATCGGCAGTGTGGAGAAGCTGGGGCCCAAGGTCCTGGAGTCCCTGTACGCCGGCGAGCTGGGCGTCAATGTGGCCACCGAGCACGAGAGCAGCCTGATCCGGGGTCGTCTGGTGCCGCGACCTGTGGCCGATGCCCGCGACTCGGCGGAACCCATCCTACTGAAGCGACAGGAGCACGCCGAGCCCCATGCCGTGGGCATGGCCTGGATGTCCATCGACAACGAGTGCAACCTGCACTACGAGGTGACCCTCAACGGAGTGCCTGCCCAGGATCTGCAGTTGTATCTGGAGGAGAAGCCCATCGAGGCAATTGGAGCGCCGGTGACGCGGAAACTGCTGGAGGAGTTCAACGGCTCGTATTTGGAGGGTTTCTTCCTCAGCATGCCCTCGGCGGAGCTGATCAAGCTGGAGATGAGTGTGTGCTATCTGGAGGTGCACTCCAAGCACTCCCATCAGCTGCTCCTGCGCGGCAAGCTGAAGAGCACCAAGGTGCCGGGCCACTGTTTCCCCGTCTACACGGACAACAATGTGCCCGTGCCGGGTGACCACAATGACAATCATTTGGCCAATGGCGAGACCAAGTGCTTCCACTCTGGCCGCTTCTACAACGAGTCGGAGCAGTGGCGCAGTGCCCAGGATGCCTGCCAGATGTGTGCCTGCCTCAGGGGTCAGTCCAGTTGCGAGGTGATCAAGTGTCCCGCCCTGAAGTGCAAGGCCACCGAGCAGCTGCTGCAGCGCGATGGCGAGTGCTGTCCCAGTTGTGTGCCCAAGAAGGAGGCCGCCAACGAGTGGTCCACCTCGGCGGCCACCAATGCCTCGGATTTGCTGCAGCAGCGACGTGGCTGCCGCCTGGGCGAGCAGTTCCATCCGGCCGGAGCCAGCTGGCATCCTTTCCTGCCGCCCAATGGCTTTGACACCTGCACCACCTGCAGCTGTGACCCACTGACCCTGGAGATCCGGTGCCCCCGGCTCGTCTGCCCGCCGCTACAGTGCAGCGAGAAGCTGGCCTACCGGCCGGACAAGAAGGCCTGCTGCAAGGTGTGTCCCGAGGGCAAGCAGAGCAGCTCCGGTGCACACAAGGCCACGCCCAACAATCCCAACGTGCTGCAGGACCAGGCCATGCAGCGATCGCCCAGCCACAGTGCCGAGGAGGTGCTCGCCAACGGCGGCTGCAAGGTGGTCAACAAGGTCTACGAGAACGGCCAGGAGTGGCACCCCATCCTCATGTCCCACGGCGAGCAGAAGTGCATCAAGTGCCGCTGCAAGGTGAGTTTCGATAGCTTATGTTCTTAGTTTTTTTGCATAGAAGTTGTAAAGTTTAAAGCAACTAAAAAAGGGATTTATAATGAAAACACTCAAAAACATTCAAAAACTTTTAATTACTTTTTTTTTGTGTAAATTATTAAAATTTAGGAAAAGTGTTTTTACATTTTCACACTTTATTCACAATGTTAAATGTTAACTTCAATTAGCAACTGTGACTTGCTAAAGTTTATTAAAGATCTAAAGATATATCAGTATAAAAGTTATAGTTTTAATAATGTCAATATCCTTTTAAGCCATATTTCCTGAGCCAGCAACTAATGAAATATTTCATTTTATTCTATTTAAAGGACTCCAAGGTGAACTGTGACCGCAAGCGCTGCTCGCGCTCCACTTGCCAGCAGCAGGCGCGAGTGACCAGCAAGCGGCGGCTCTTCGAGAAGCCGGACGCAGTGGCTCCGGCCATCGACGAGTGCTGCTCCACTCAGTGCCGCCGTTCGAGGCGCCACCACAAGCGGCAGCCGCACCATCAGCAGCGCTCCTCCAGCTGAGCAATCAATCCACAGGATTCAGATGGTGATCCAGATACAGATCCAGATCCACGGGGGAAACCACTCACTCACTCAGTGCGATGTGCACCACCCAATCACACACTCACACTCACACCACCACCACTCTCCACCCACACACTCACACACATCACCCACACAATCGAGCAAACATACACACACTTGTGCAAGGACTTGCATAGATCGTTGTTGTTGTTATGTGGCAGCAATGGAAAACTTGTATTATATATATGAAAACAAAGGGAGAAACAACGAGAATTCTCATGAGAAAAAAAAAAACAAAAATACAAAAAAATATAAATGGAGAAGTAAGAGAGAAAGAGAGGGATAGAGAGATATTGAGATCCTTGAAAAAGGACATCTACGAACCAGTGCAGTTTGCTTTAAATTCTCCAGCGCAGAATTTTCTATAGAAAGCATTTTCTGAATTTCTTTTCACAAAAAATCACCCACCCCACATTAACACCACCCCCAACCCTACCACCCTACCACCTAACACCCAAAAAAAACATTAAAATTAAATTTTAATTTATTAAAAAATATCATACAAATCACACACACAAAAAAAAAACAACCAAAAACAAAAAGAATTCGAAATTGAAACTGTACTGAGTTTTGAAAACGCACACATTTGACTTATTGAAATACTTAAACCTTTTCAATTCATTTAAATTCAAATTTAAACTGAAGTTTGAAAGCAAAGCAATCGATAACGCAGCAGCTATCGTGGGAATATTAACTTAAACTAATTATTCTGATTATACATATATATACAATATTTTTTATATATACACATATATATATATATACAGATACAAATATATCTATATAATTTATGAGAAACAAAACACAGTGGGAAACGCATTTGGCGCATTATGTGGTTATCGACATTTGTATCGATATATATATTTTAGCAACCCAAAAGTTTCAACTGATTGACTGAATGGCAAAAATAAAATTAGCTTTAAATACGTTTTTTTCGCAAGCATGAAAGTGAAGGAAATTGAAAACGCAGCTTTTCAATGTGAAATTATTTTGTACTAATTGTTACTCACAACAACACACACACACAAGCACACATACATTTAGAAATCGAAATGCACACATACACATTGAAATGTTTTTATTTCTTTTAAGGAGTATATTTTTAAATTATAATACATTTTATGGAAAATTTTCAATAATTATGTACAAAATTTGTTAAAAAAAAAAAAGAAAACTATTTCAAAAAATGCCATGTACACATATTTATACACAAAACACACACATACACACATAAAAAGAACAAAACGAAAAAAGAAACAAAAAGATAAGGAAATTTACCGCATACACAGACAGAAATTGTATTAATTTTTTATTCTATTAAATTATTCTTATTATTATTATTATTATTATTTTATGTTTATTATTATTATAATATTTTTTTTTGTAGCTTGTATAAACATACTTATATATATATTTTATATTTAATGATTGATTGATTAATTTTAAATAATTGATTAAATGCAATCAAAAATATTTAAAATGATGAAGAGCTAAACAAACTTGTACTAATAACTTAAATTTAGTGTTTATAAATTAAACAACAAGTTAAAATCAAAAACAACAACAAAACCCACACACACAGAGAATAAACAAAAAACTACAAAATCATAAAGCTTTTATTTTTTATTATTTACGACGGTCGAGAGATGATGAATATATTTGATTTTTATGCAATGCGCAAAAGCAAGAACAACTAAACAAAACAAATCCGAACTACGAAAAAAGAAGAACAAATAGCAATACAAAAGAGTGAATTAAGATATTGACGAAATATGTTCGAAAAATATATATGTATATATTTAGATATATACGCAATAACAATCAAATTCTGCTCGTTTTACTGATCTGTAGGCCAGCGTTCTTTCTTTTTCTTTCTGCGACCTCGTCCTATTAGGTAACTTAATTTTCAGAATAGCAATATGCCACAGACACTCAGACAATTATACGCGTAAAATTTGTTATAGAGCAATTATATCTTGGTTTTTATAACCGACACACCAAATTATCCAAATGGCTTTTATGGCCCAGAATGATGATTGTCAAATGCCATATATCTGATTTTCGGCGTTTTATGTCAAAAAGTTCTTAACATTTCCGGCGTTTCTTTTGATTAGATTGCCACAGAAAGTATCTAACGATCTAGTTGAGATACAAATAAATTGTAGCTTTTTCTTGTGCTCTTTTAGGGAGTTTAAAATAGGTGAGTTTAAATCTTAGGACCATTTTCTCGACTTTAAGTTCGTCTAGGCTGCAAAACACAGCTTTTAGCATATCATGAGCCTGAGAAAGCCTTAAAGTTATGCCCATTAAATATATGGACCTAAAAATAACCTATATTTTAAGTCTTAAAAAAATATACATTACTTTGGGGTACTTGCATAAATCTTTTAAGCTTAATTTTCCTCAAATTTGAGTCTACATTAGATTTCCAGCAGATTAGAGAATAGCTTTCCGAGCCAAGCTGTTGACAATGCAGTCGATGTGGTTGCCTTTGAATGAAATCGAATAATTAAATATTGGCATAGTCACACCTTGTTGACAATTATTGACAGGCTGATTGGCAAACAAATGAATATACTTTAGCCATTGCCGTTTTTGAGCTGTCGAGGGGCGCGGCCCAGTGGCACGACAATCTGAATCTGCCCTGTGACTCTGGTCTGGGTTTAATACACTAAGGAAAATCCTTTGATTTTTCATTTTTTTATTTCAGGATAGCTTAAAAATCTTATGTATTGTATATTTGTTATCAGAGGGGTTACATATTACAAAAATATGAATTTTTGCAGTTTACAGAAACATTTACAAAGATACAGTTCTCTTCTTACAGCTGTGCTTTTAAAATTTGTTTTATAAATAAACATATATATAATTTATCTGCTTTAATACAAAATATGACTTTATATTAACTGGGTTTCTCAATAGTTTTTCTTTAAATAATTCATCTGACTTATAAATGAATATTTTTTTAAAATTATGTAAGGCATTGAAAAGCTTAACTGTGCTATTACATATTTTATCTAATTTATAACAAGATGTGACTTAATTTAAAAATTATCCATATACATATATAATTTTTCATTTAATGGTTTATCATGCAAAATATTTCTACATAAAGTAATGACGATCTCGCATTACAAATTACAAATTTTGTTAATAAAATAGACAAAATTGGTTATAGACTATTTTTCGGTGTAGTAAGACAAAAGTTTCCTAAACATTCCAATATTGCATCTTGGTTTTGGAGAGTATGGTGATTTTTATTGCCGTGCATATGTGTGGGTGGGTGGTGGGAGGTGATAGGTGGTGACTGTGGGTGTGGCAGCTACCGAAAGCAGTTGGAGGAGATTCGAATCTGCAGCATCCATGGCGCTGGCGTTGGCGTTCCGCGGTTCGTGTTGACAGTATCTTTCGGATATCGATCGCCGGCCCATCTGGGAGCTGGCATTTGCATTTTGGCGCTATCAATTAATTGAGTTGGCCCGGCCAAACCCTTCGGATCGACGATAAGCCCCCGTCACACCATTGTAATATCCACCGCAGATGATATCTGCACTCGCTTATTTATGTGTCACACCGAACACGCTCACGACATTTGAGCAACCAGCCAGCCTAATACTCGCATTTGTACTCGATTTCGAACTCACACTCGTACTCGTTGTCGCACTCATAATCATCAATTATCCGCTGCTGTCTGAATTTCATTCGCAGTCGCGCGGGTAATTGCCGCAAATATGCAAAGCATGTGTAAAACTTTATTGATATACAATGTGAATAAACGTTTGCCTAACTTTGTTTTGATTGCAGCTGTCACTGCAGCGCACTCACTGAAATCAATTCACCTTTCAATAGCCCGGCCACGACTTTGCGATACACTTTTATTGGCCCGGGTTGCCGATTGCAGTCGATTAAACGCTCAAATAGATCACGAAACGTCTACACTGAAATACTAAAACTTGTACTTGAAAAGGCGACAACAATATATATTGCAAACCTAATAAATTTTCTTTTTTAAAATATAAAATAAAAATTTCTGCTCAAAAAAGGTAACCAGACTTTGAGAAAAATATTGTGAGCAAAAAAAAAACCATAAAAATATCAATATTTCTTGACTCAATTTTTTTTATTCAAAACAAAAACAAAAGCGATTATACTTATATAATATTAAATGAATAATCATTAGATTGCGATTATTCTTATATAAAAGTAATAACGATTATGGTCCCTGAAAATAGCATCAGTTGTCGTTAATTTATTTTCTTTTTTTTTTGGTTTTTTGTAAAGCTTTAATAAATAAATCATGAGCTGTTTCTTTGTAAATATCAAATTCCTAATCTTACTGTTTGTCATGCAGAGGATATCTAGAAAAGATATCTGTACCTTTATATTCATTCATCACAAAAAAAAAAAAAGTTTAAAAACAGTGGCAATAAAGTTTTTATCAAAACGTGAACAAATTTTGTATCATTTTTTTATGACCTTTGCAGAAAACTTTTTATCAATCAACTCTGAGTCAAATTCTGCGTAAATATGTTATCGGTTAATGCTGATTGTATTACTTTTGTACCTGCTTGCAAACATTTTATGATATTTTTATTGCTACCCCTTACAACCGTATTTAATCTTATCATTGGTAAAACTAATTGCTTTTTGGAGTGCCTACAATTAAAGTTTTTATGAAATCGGTTGCCTAAATAAAAAATTAATTTTCTTTACTCTTTTGTCTATGCTTTTCGTTAATCATAGTTTTAATACAAATTGTCTAATATTTAATTTTGAATTTATTACTTGTCAGTGTACAGCCCGATTACCCTGTCCACAAAACAGATTATCGGATCCAACACAAGATCACGCAAGGCTGGCAGGTCTATTCCGATAGCCAAGCTAAAATCGAGCCTGGGCCAAATCGCATATCTGTCGGATACAGCCGCACTTATTCAGCGGAAAGATATAGTAGATATAGGAAACGTTAGAGAAATCGCCTCTAAGACAAGCGATGACTTCATCTATCAGCACTGCAATTGCTCCGCAAGCTGATCCATATATCAGGCAATGCAAGATCATTAAAACGGAATTAACTGAAATGGAAATAACAACAAACCGAACGCCATTGTTATCGGTCTATCAAATAGATAGAATTTATGGAGTTCCATGTCGAGATATATGATAAATACGAAAAATACGAACAGGACTTAAAAAAATATGTATCATTTCAAAAGACTGCAAATACATAGAAAAATTTTAGTGCGTTAAATTATCAGTTTAAAGTGTTAAAAATATATGACTTTGTGCTTTTCAAAAATAGATTTTTTATAACAACAATAAAAGATTATTATTTATTTAATACTATTCACGTATAGAAAACATCAATAAGTATCTGGTTAAGTATGAGCTGTTTTTTAACTTTGAGCTTTTTTTACTCTTTCTGAACAATCGCAAAAGTAAAGAAGATTTGAATCCATTCTGTCCGATTCAGGCTTTTAGATGCCTCTTCTGCCCACATGAACTTGCCACATTTGTTAGTGTCTCTCCCGCAAAAGTTATGTATCTTGTATCTGTGGGACCGCCTTGGCCACAGCCATCGCTGATTGTTAACTGATTGCATACAAATAAGCTCAAGCTCCGAAGGGGTCAAATCATGTTGGCACTCGTGTCGCCGGCTAATTGCCGCTACAAGCTCCACAACGCAGATCAGTTCGGGTTATTTGGGTTACTCTGGGTTGGGTTCTTCCATTTGCCGATCAACTGCTAAAGGATTCAACTTCTAAAAGTGGGTCAATAATTAGCTTTGCCAGTTACTTTGCTTCTTGTTAGGCCATGAATCAAATAAAATAGTTTACCAAATAAACCACACAAATAAAAACACTAGATATTGCTTACTGTAACAAAAATATTTTGAAATATTTTTTGTACTTACAATAAATAGCTATGTAAAAAAGCTTTAAACTTTTTGATCAATAATGCTTTTCTGTTCCTTAAGTTTGTATTATTTAATCATTTGTAACATTTTTAATGTGCTGATGATTTCGAAGTTATTCTGATGTCCCGAAAAATTTCTTTTAGGGAATTTCTAACAACTCGTTTTCGGTAAATGGTCAGAACTCCGGACAGGACAGAAAAGAAAACACATCTGATCTCACAACCAATTGGGTATCAAATGAACAGGTTCGCATCGGAATTAAACAGAATAGCCAATTGCCCAAACCCACTACAAAGTATGGGGCAGCAATTGTGGAACAGATTCGATTAGCATGCCGGAGATTTCTGCGTAAAATTAACACGAACCCAAAATTCTCCAAATGCCACGCTCCAATTCGAACCATCCATCGCATTTCAAAATGCTGCCGTTGAT